TTTTTTTGTCTTTATATCACTAAAAGTTGCACTTTTAACTTGTTTTCATATTGTTTTTGTTTCTTGACTTTAAGGATTCTCTCTAAATTATATTTCACCAATTAAAATTAGCAGTGCTCTGAAATAATCACGTACTGTAGTACATTACTGTAGGACGATGATTTTACGATGCTGAAACTGTTCTGACTGAAATCAGATATTTGCATTATATTGAGGAGTTTTCGTACGGAATTAATGTAATTTTATTTTGTTTTCTATCAGGGACATCAGAAGCATTTTTGCATGCTGTCGCAGATGAGAATCAGCTGAAACAGTCGAATGACTCACTGCTTGTCTTCTCACTGATTTACCTAATCTTGAACGTCCTACTTATAAGAACAGCAGGTGCAATTGGACTAATAATCGCAAATTCTTTGAGTATCCTTTATTAATAAATGCGATCGATTAGCCCTTCCCATGATTTTTTTTTTTTTTTTTTTTTTTNATTGATTGTTAATTTGAGACCTGGACTTGGTGGACCCTTGTGTTTTTGAGATCGTCATTCTGTGCTTAAGCCCCGTCCGTTTTTTTTTCCCTATTGGCATATTTGCTATTAGTTTTATAATTTCACGTTCATTCATCTTAATCTTAAAAGTGAAAAAGACCTTGGTTCCTTGACTGGTAGTTTAAGACATGATCTTCAGGATAATTTATTCAGCAATTTTCATCAGAAAATATTTCAAGGTATGACTTAGATCTTTTTACGTAACTATCTAGTATTTGATGATTGTTTTGCTCTCTATGACATTGTTGTATCTTAGTTAAACAACTGATGCTTTTTAAATGTAGTCCTCTCAGGACTTGTCGTTCTCCTTCAGAGCTTGCTTGCCCGGTGGCTCCCTACTTCTGCTGGTCTCAGGTGTAGCCACTTTCATCCTCCAAAGAGTATATCTTAACAAAGATAACTTCTGGTCCACCTTTACAGTCCACATGTCCTTTGGGTTGGCATGTTTCAGTGTAGCAGCTTTTGTGATGTGAGTTTTTTTCTTTTATTGTCATTTTCTGTTGAACCAAAATATTATCTCAATGCTATCTTGTGATATTATTATTATTATTTTATTTCATCACCAGATATCAGAAAGAGAAGCCCTTCATTAACAAAATCCTACGTTTTCGTGAACATGCTGATTGAAGATGACACAAGGTTAGATATAAACTATTACGCAGTTTTTATTATATATACAAATTTTTGTGTGAGGCGGCATCAGGAGGGTCTGCATGTCATAATTTTTTTTTTTCCTTTGAAAATGCATATGTTT